TTGCTTTATGGACATAGTGATGGATAAAACTATTTCGAGTACGAATGGTGTGGAGGCGCCGTGTAGTAAAAGAGTGCTGACTCCTTAAATTGACTTCGCACTCATTCTTGGGAGGTAGTAAGCTATAGAGCTTGTGCGAGGGATTAGACAGGATGGAATTAAAAAGCTTATCACATAAGAACTCGCGGCGGTTGTGTAAGGGAACTAGACCAGTCAAAAGAAGCGCCTCATTGTACGAACAATCTGGATAGATAATACGTAGAGCTCGCCTTTGACATCTCTCAAGATCTACTGAAAGGTATTGCGGGAGGCTATGATGATAAACAGGGCATGCATATTCAGTGACAGGCCTAATACAAGTCAAATAGAAGAGCAAAAGCTCCTCCGACTTGACCTGTGCACGCTTAAGCTGACGCAAAAAATACAGGCGCTTGTTTACTTTCTTTACAACTTCGGATACGTGATTATTCCACGTAAGATCGCAAGATATCTGCAAACCTAAGATCTTTGCTTGCTCTACACACTCTAAGTCCTGATCATTAACCTTAATTGGATCAAAGTTCTTTCTAGAGTGACTGAATGTTATGCGCAGTTCCTTGCACTTGGTTTCATTTAATTGGAACTTGTCAGCAGAAGCTTGCGTCGCGAGTTCGTCAACCGCTTGTTGGACTTTGCTGACCTCAGACTTCATGACTGTTTCAGAAATAGTGGAGTCATCGACATATTTCCACATGTCTGTACCCGGGATGATGAGGTCGTTTATCATAATAGTAAATAACCAGGGGCCAAGTTTTGTGCCCTGTGGGACCCCTGATGGGATGGCCCCCACCCGAGTAACAGTCCTGACTAAGTTTAACACGCTGTCGGCGACAGGACAGAAAGTCCACTATCCAGTCAATTATTCCGCTTGGAAGATCGTATGAAATGAGCTTCTGAACTAGGATCTGATGGTCAATAAGGTCAAACGCCTTGCGGAAGTCAAAGAGGATGGTTCTGACAGTTGCACCGTTCCCATCCGTAGCGCTAAGCCATGAGTGGACCATGCTTATTAGTGCTTGTGTCGTACTGGAACCTGGCACAGTCCCAAACTGCCGTACATCCACTTTCGCCAACACAACAGGCTTGAGGAAACTCTCCACGACGAAATCTTCAGCAACCTTAGAAAGCACGGGAGTTAGGGATATTGGACGTAGATGTTTGTTTACATCGTGTATTGGATTCTGCTTTGGTACTGGAGTGATGTTAGCGTCCTTCCAAGGCTGAGGCAACCGTGCTTCCTTAAACGAACAGTTAAGGATATCAGTCACAGGCAGTGCTAGTAAATCTGCATTCTCTTTAAGAAGCCAACCGGGGATTCCGTCCGGACCGGTTGCCTTAGTTGGATTTAAGGCGGATAGCTTCTTTAAGACAGAGAATTCTGATACCTGGAAAGCACTCTCCTGGTCAGAGTTGGTTGAGGTGTTAGGTGAAAGGGGGGTGAAGACGCGCATAGGAGCCAAGAACGCCTGGTTGATGGTGTTAGCAATGTCTATCGTGCTTGGAGGCGAACCTCCCTGACCACAATCAATATGTTGGTAGAGTGTAGCTGGATTAACGCCTCTAGAAGCTGCGTCTGACGTACCACTGAGCTTCTTTACCTCACGCCACCAAACTGCGGGTTTACAGTCCTTCAGATGTTCAACCTTGGAGTTATAGAACTTTGCACGGCATGCTTTCCTCTCACGATTAACGCGATTTCGTAGGGTGCGGTACTGCTCCTGGTCGCCTTGAGCGAGGGCCTTTTGGCGGCTGTGAATGAGACCCTTCAATTGTTGATTGACCCAGGGCGGCTCGTTGGTTTGTACCGACTTAGACTTCAGGGGAAGGAGAATGTCCATTCCGGTCTTAACTATGGTCTCCAGCATTTCCACTTTGCCCTTGCAAGAATCTTTACTATCGATAAGTGTCTTAACGTCCACATTTCCAAGATACGTGCGCATAGCCATACGCGTTGTAGGCCGTAAGTCCCTCGATTTCACGATAAGTTTAGTTCTTGGTTGTTGGGAACGCACGAGCGGCTGAACTTCCACTGAGAAATGATCGGACAAACCGAGAGCAGGGCGCTGGATCGGAGGGGCATAGAACTCCTTCACATTTGTTAACACCGGATCTAAGGTATTTCTGCCGCGAGTTGGAAAGGTAACGATTTGCTTCAAATTAAAGCCGTTACTAAGGCGCGAAGATTTCTTTAACAGGGTTTTATTGAAGTCACCAAGTAAAATTATCCCGCAGCCAGGAAAGCGAGCCTCAACCAAAGATAAACAGTTATACAAATAATCCAGCATAGGCGAATCCGTGGCGCTCGGAGAATGATAAACAACTCCAACAATAATGCTGGTAATGCCCCTTGGGAGACGCGAAGGCCGTATTTGAGTCCAAACAACTTCAAACTTCCTATCCATAATGTCCTCAATGATCTTGAATTGGATAGACTCTTTAATGTACAGACACACTCCCCCATGCACTGCTTCAGTTCGATCTCGGCGGATCACGTTATAGCCAGAAATAGCGACAATATTATTGTCAATGTGGTCTTTGAGCCAAGTCTCTGTTATGCATACAAGGTCGAAATCTGCATAATGGACGACTTCACGGACTTCATCTATTTTCGGCGCCAGTGACATGACGTTGGAGAAAAAAACGACGGCATGAATAGCTTTGATGACTTTGCAGGTTCGGCTTTAGATGGTGTAGGTGGAATAGCGAGAAGGTTGGCGTTATTACAGTATTTGTGACTGGACTTCAAACGGTAGGGGCCATGGTTGGCTGACCTTGGTGAAATAACTGCAATATGGCGGTGACGATAAACTTCTCGCTCCTTCACTTGTCGTCCAGCTCTGGTACCGCGATAAGATGGCCATTTCCCACCATGAAATCGAAGAAAACCAAAAGAGGGGCGAACCTGGACCATTTTGCGGCAGCAGATATAACATTTAAGGCAATAAAATTCAAAAATTACGGAAGCAGATGAGACCTCGTGCTGCCTTGAAAGGTGCATACAGACTGGATACACAAACACTTTCTTGTTACAGTCTCAGGTGCACCCTCGTATTACTTGCATATAACGTTTGCAGTTCAGTTGTATCGTTTTTTACAGCTGTTGAACTTTAGTGGTCCCTCTTACCAAAAGAATTCCACTGCCATAGTGACACCTGATGATTGCAATCGACAGCTTTCGCCATGGTTTGATAGCTGTTGGTAAACCTTTTTTCTAACATACTTTAATCTTTAACGAGAAATGAGACTCCGCTTTTGTACGAAATACAAGATAAACCTGAACCTCATAAAAAGATTCACACAAAACTACTTGATGAAGAAGTATGCTCTCAAGGAAGAAACAAAAACTACAAAGAGCGAACTGAACTAAAGTAAACGTAAAGCATACGGTAGCGGTGTTTCTATCCGCCAATACTTTGACCGTAACACAGTGCAAAAAATGATGCCTAAATCTGTGCTTATAGAGCCAAGATAAGAAACGGGATAAGCGCGGGAAAGGTTAATCAAAAATCTACTATTGTGGCTACTTCTAGCAGTTTTTTCCCATCGCATTCCCGTGGTGAAACTCATAAATTTTTATCAGTCTCTTTCAATGTGTGGCCTGAGAAACAGCTTTTAAGTTCACTCTGATCCATTGATTTTTATCGCTCTAAAAAAAACCACGTTGGTAAACCACAAGCTTCTTTTGTTTATCTTACACGCGATTGTAATCATCAATTTGTGTTATCAGCTGTTGTTCTTTATATTCAAAAACGCTCAAAACTTTAATTTTAATTGTAAAAATTTCCCGTTTGTTCTACAAAGCAAACAGTTTAATAGACCTGGCGTTACTGTCATACAAGCTTGCAAGAAAATTCATTACATTCCACAGCGTTTGATTAATGGGCATTTTCAAACATTTTAGCCTATTGAAATAAATTAACCGGGGACAAATGTTCAAATGCTAGTAAAGAATAAGCGCTGTCTAAACAAGTACCTTCCCAATTTACGGCCGTGCGTTGTTGTCCCCACAATGAAAAGCTGTCGGCAAACAGGCTTGTCAGCACACAGGGAAAGGTCTTATCCAAACAGGTATTTATCATTTCCTTAGCAAATGCACTTCTTAAGAAGTATTTCGTTTTTTTGAAAGCGAGGAATACTCGCTGACTACGAAAATCAAGGAAAACTTCCCAAAGAAGAATTTCTCCAAGAAATGTACGAGTTGCTCCATAAGGCCAGATTTTTAAGCAATGAATCCTATCTGATTACAAACTGGCATGTCAGTATTTAGACAAGATGTTTCCTCAAGGAAAAACATGTCAAATTTGTCCATCTTCACTACAATGAAAACATGTCATTTGAGGGAAACTTGTTAAGGAATACGCGCTGGTTCAAATGCTGTTTAGTCTTCTGTGTACTGCTTCTCTCGGCTAAAGTTAGCCCTGGGAGAATCACGAATTCCTTGCAACGCCGCCTGGTTTCTATGAAAATATTGTAAAGGTCAGCGATTAGCATAACATTTCTATCTCTAATGGAAACATTTTTCAATAATTATACAGGATATGGGAATCTAACAACATCCCCCTTGATAAGAAAATCATTCCAAACAATCTGTCTCTCTTAAATCATTTTATAGAGAGAAACCATTTCCACTCCTTACTGTTCTTGTATACCACTCGTTCAAGTGGAGTGTTACGTTTACCTTAACGTTTATCTTAAATCTCACCTGTCTTTAGTCCGGCTACACATGTTAAAGCCGCCTACATTGGATTTCATAAACTATTGTTCCAACGTTGCGCAACAGATTTGTTTATGGACAGTTTTTTCCAAAGCTGACCGTCGGCCAATTTAACTTATGTTTGGCTTCCAGCTTCATTGTGTTGCATAAGCTTGTGTCTTAAGTCAAACGGAGGAAAACCTTCAAAAGAGAATTTTTTTATCAAACTCTAACAAAATATTGAATATAGGGCCTAGTTATTACTGATATGAATGGAACAAAGAATAACAGTGTGCAAGACTGCTTTGGGGAACCAAGCACAGCGACCACTGCTTTCAAAGCTCTGGCCTATGTTTGCATTTTCGTTGTATCTTTGGTCGGAAATGGCGGCATCCTTTTGGCTATTTACAAGAACAAACAGCTGAGGAGATCTATAAACTACTTTGTGTTTAATATGGCTGTGTCTGATATATTAAATCCGTTGACAATCCTGCCAGTAACATTCGTTGAGATTGTCTCAGGATCTGATACTTGGAAAGTTGACGACCCGTGGTTGTTAGGAAACTTCCTTTGCAAACTTTCCTTCTTTCTCCCCGATGTTTCTGTTGCAGTATCAATTGAAAGCCTGCTGTTGATATCGCTGGACAGACTTATCGCTGTTGTCTTTCCGCTCAGGACAAGATATCTTTCACCGAAAGTTCATCTAATGAGTATCCTCTGTGCATGGATCATCGCCATCGCAGTTCATGCACCTTATTTTTACACTTTCAGGCTACAGCTTTACGAAAACAAAACTTACTGTGTCGCCAATTGGGGACCAACCTTTAATCATGTGGAAACACACAAACGATTTGTCACAGCAACGTTTATTACTTTTGTGTTAGTGCCAATCTGTGTCCTGGTGATCGTGTACAGTGTAATAGCTTGGAGCTTGTGCCAAGAGCGAAAGAAAATGGAGCAAGAGTCGAGTAATCATCAAAAGAAACTTGGCAAACAAAGCAAAAAAATTGTTTGTAGCTCTGTAGCTATTGTAGCAGCTTTCGCTTTCTGCATGATTCCACAGCTTGTTTTTATCTTTACACGCATATTTGTTTGGAATTGGGAAGTGCCGCCGAATTGCGCTTTTCGCACAACGATCCCGTTCATTGCCTCTTTCATGTTGCACGCATGGAGTGCTGTTAATCCTTGCATTTGCTTTATATTCATTAAGACCTATCGAGACACTCTGAAGAAATTGCTCTGCTCTCTGTGGTCAACTGTAAATCATACACAGACTTTGGATCTATCGATGAATCCCGCTACGTTAGCACTAAGGATTCAAAAATGTCGTTCTACGCAAGTCTGATGCCCAAATTTAACTGGCTGATTGTGACCCTTAGCTGCGTAAGTAGTTGTTAAAATCAATGTTGACGACGATGCACCGATATGTTTGTTTAGTTATTTTTCAGCGGTCCCCAAAATTAAACTTTGATGGGCTGATATTTAAATAGAGATTATTTTTGTGGAAATAAATGGGTAAGTACCCATGTTCCCTTCTTCTTTGAATTTGGTTTTAAATTGCGCGACGTTCATGGAGATTTACGCAAAAAGTAATCTGCATGGGAGTATTACAAGTCAAGAGAATAATCTCTTGTACAGGTTAATTTAATTTTATTAACTGAATTGATAAGGAAAATTGGATACTATGATTAGTTTCACACTGAGTTCACCTAAATTTTAGGTGGTGTTAACTATCAAACCCAGAGGAGATGCTGGATGCACTTCTGTTAGGGTAACATTCGTTTCCCATCCATATTTCAGACTATGAGGTGTCGGGGAAAAATTGGTTGATGAAATTTGAGGTGTTTTAAAATTGTATCGGTAAAAAAGTCAATTTTGTTGTTCCTGTTTAGGGAGGCTCCATAGGGTTTTTTGACCGCGCGATATCTGGGTGTGCACATAGCACGGGCCATAGAGGTGTCAACATAGAAAACAAACATGGCCACTCGATACGATCGCACGATTGTCATCTGAAAAGATGTGTTAGAAACAGTTTGTGATGGAATCTAGGGTTTTCAGCAAATGCACTCGTAATATTCATAGACCCTCTAAGCCTGAAAAAGAGGTCAACCGAAAAGAAAACACCGTGGGAAAGGTATCGCACAGTATGAAAGTCTACGCATACTCACATACCGACGTTGGGGAAGTTAATATTTTGCGACAAAGAAAATAGGGATCTTTCGAGTTAGATTTATCACATTTCCTTCGGTGGAATTTCCTAAGATTTGCTGGACCGTTAAACATATTTGTGGCCTTCCTAGTGCCTGTACATGTTGACAAAAAAATCCATGTGACCAAATTTGAGATAGGGGAAGAAAACACAAAGTAAGCCTTACTTTATATATTTATTCTTTTGCTTTTAAATGATCTGCACAAACTGTGAAAATTATGAGAGATTTCATCGAAGCAAATAGAAGAAAATCAAACGCAAAGCCAAATTATCTTTGGCGAACGCCTCCCTTCTTGGAGCCTTAGCTTAATAACGTAAATCATTTTGATAATATTTGCCAAAGTAAAAGATGATCCGAACGTTGCTCATTGCCTTTCGATGGCTCTTAGTGACCTTGAAAAGTGAAAACATAAAAATTTAAAAATAAATTTTAAAAAATGGCGCGCGCGCCAACATTAAGCCAAAGTCCCATGGAGCTTCCTTAAGGGAGCACCAAACAGAACATAGCTTGACTAAAGCTCGATACCAGTAACTTAGAGCGAACATCATGCAATTACGATTTTTTCTAGAAATTATGCATATATCGTTTCTGCTCACCTCCCGACTTTTTCCTTTTTTATGGTGGATCCTTGCCAGCAATAGAAAATCCGAGCATTATCAAAGTAATAAGGAGTTGTATTGCGTCGTCTAAAGCAAACAATCAACTACAAAAATGAAGCGCCTGGATATCTGCTCTCAGTCGCTTGTAAATTGAAACAAAAATAACTTAAATGACTATGAATAAGACATTTATAGATTGATTTTCTTCAGGGTTTTTGGAATTGAATGGAAAAGTAGAATAAATATACGTCGTTTGCCGTTTTCCAAAAAGGTGATGAGGAAACTTATTTGAGAAATTCGAATACCGCGTGGTACTGATTAACCTACAGGTATTAATTTGCGAGATAATGTGTTTAAACAAAGTTGGTGTCGGAAAGAGGAAACAGGAAGTAAGTATTAAACGGACGGCATCACACGGTAGACATAGGAGGTATAATGGCTGATATCAGATATTTCATGAAAGCAAATTCAAAGTTAACATTTGTGTGTAAGATGTAGAAAAGTGATATATAAAAAAAACATACAAGACATAGTATTTGTTTGAGCTCGACTTCCTATATTTAGAAAAGAAAAAAATTATGGTAAAAAGTAATGAGGTTTCACCAAAGTAAGCCTTTTACGAAGGCATGAGCTGTAAGCAGTTTTCAACAAGCCCTTCAACTCAATATTTTTATCCGTATCTCAGGATTCCCACTCAAATGTTGTCATTAGGCGAACTCAAACATTTTGGCTCAAGTGCAAGAGTCTTCTTGTACGTATCATAAGGAAACATCTGTCTCCCTAATGGAAAAGTTAAGTTAATAGGTGACTCACTACTGAATAATTTTTTGGACGCTTCAACATGCCTAATCGAGAAAAAGATCTGACCCTACGAAAAAAGTGACAGGCAAGATGTATAGTTCAACGTTATTTACGCTTTAGTTCTTCTGTTGAATAAAAATTTCAGTTAAAAAACATATTTTGTGCTCTTCCATGTTTGCGTTAATTTAAGTCCTCCATAAAATACACTTCCTCTTTCTAACATTTATTGGTAACTGAACCACTTTTAAAGCAAAAGTGAACCAACCAGCTAAGACAGGTTGTAAAGTTTTTCCATCAGTAAAGCAGATAGATCGTATGGAAGTACTTCTCGTTAAACTCTTGTGTAAGAGACTCTTTTCATTTGAGTACCGGATACCTTTCACTTTAAGGATTTGTTTTTAAGGCCACAACCATGCTGGATAAATTTTAAACTTTGCTTGGAAAAAACAAATATCTATTTGTAGCAAATCAATAAAGCTTGAATAACATCATATTGCTGTCAAATTGCTCACGCTCCTGATGAGTTGCTCTCTATTACGGAAAACGACCTATGTTAGACATTTGGAGGGAATTGTCACGAAACTAGGCATTTTCGCTCAGTTCAACTGAAAACCTAAAAGAACTGGCAGGGTAGGTGCTTAGTGAGGCACAAATATATGATTGTTTGCTTTAAATGAGCCTGAGTGACTATATCGCATCGAGCTCTTGTTCAGGGTCCCTAGGGAAAGGAAACGGGCGGAAGCTTTTGAAATAATTCAAGTGGACTCCTTAGCAAGAACTGCGGCAAACTAGGACTCTAGTACACTTTAAGCGGAGAATTTACTTTCGCCTTAAGGTTTTGAACTTGCATTTTGAAGGCGTGATGTGCTTGCTTCTATTCTCATTTATCTGCCTTCCTAAGTTCCGCAATGAGAAAATGAGACTTGTACCAATAAGTAAGTTGATATTTGAAATCTTATATGAAAAATATGCACTTAACTAAAAGGCTATTTTCCCCACTTTCAACCAAGAAAACAGATTTGTAACATAAAGCCTGCCAGGTTCTTCTCTACAGTACAAAAAGCGTGAAATAAATGGGTTGAAGAGATCATCGAGTCAAGCACAAATTATGGAAGACACAAAGCCTTTAAAAGCAAACCTAATATTCGTTTTTCAGACCACTTTTTTAGCGCAGGCGGTAAAGCACGGTTTAAAGTTCGTCATATCGAGTTCAACTGAGCACAAGGATAATCGATCTTTGATCATACAAAACCCCCTCGCTTAATGATGATTGGAAATTCAAGCTGGGGACTACTAATCAAAAACTTTTCATCCGACGCGGAACATGCAGCAGCTCAAAGCACCACTGACCAAGATTGCGTTCCAAGAAATGGCCAGGCCGAAAAAGCTTGGAAAGCCATAGCTTACTCCTTGATTCTCGTGGTTTCCTTCGTCGGGAATGTCCTGGTTTTATTCATCTTCTACAAAAACAGACAGCTGCGAAGGTCACCCATCAACTTCTTCGTCTTTAACATGGCCTTTTCCGATCTATTTAACCCTTTCACCATCATGCCTATCAAAGTCGTTCAGATAATCTCAGGATCTGATTCCTGGAAAGTTTCCAATCCATGGCTACTCGGAAATATTTTGTGCAAACTTTGCTACTTTCTTCCAGATGTTTCGTTAATAGTCTCTATCCAGACCCTTCTATTGATCTCATTTGACAGGCTCTTAGCTGTGGTCTTTCCGTTTAAAGCCAGTCTCATCTCCCCAAAGGTACGATTGACTGCCATCTCGTGCACATGGCTTATCGCGTCTGCTCTTCATGCACCTTATTTTTACACTTTTCAATTGTTCTCCGACCAAAACGAAGCATATTGCAAGCAGCTTTGGGAACCTACAATAGCAGATCACCTAGAGACACACAAGAAGTTTGTCACAGCAACATATATCATTTTCTTTTTAGTGCCTTTCTGCCTCTTGGTCTTTGTGTACGGCACCATCGCGTGGACTTTAAGTAATAACAACAAAAGAAGACAAAGGGAATTATCTTGCATACAACGCCAACGGGATCAGAAGCTCCGTAAAACTATCCGAATGTCAGCAGCTATAATAGTTGCTTTTTTTATTTGCACGACCCCACTTTTTGTTTACATGTTCACCATGATTTTTATTTGGAACTGGACTGACGACCTGCAAGCGTGCTCATTTCACACGTGGATTCCATTCTTTTCTTTCTTTATGTTTCATGCTTGGAGTGCTGTAAATCCATGCATTTGTTTGATTTGTATTAACGTCTATCGGAGCAGCCTTGTGCGAATTTTACCATTTAGCTCCAATGTCGTCCATGTAACTGCTACTCGATAAGTGATGTTATGTTCCTGAGAACGCTGAATCGAGTAAAACATCTTCGCTATTTTCTAAGCGTTAATCCCAACAAAATTAATATCATACATTAAAAAACGACATTAATAAACAAAAATATCATGGAGTAAAGATAGAAAAAATAGAATAAAGGTAAGATAAAGGAAATAGAGAAAATTTTTCGCAGTTATCAGAACGTTGATCCTAACAAAATTAAGTTTACACTTAAAAAAAACAGATATCCGTAAACGAAAATATAAACAACCGAAAGAATAGACTCAATTTGCTGTTAAACATCATTAACATACGAAGAACTCAACAACGACCAGTTGTATTTGAGTAGAATACAAAGAGCTATCTTTTCAATAACAGTGTACACGACATCTTATCGAAGATAAAGTGGAAATCTTTACGTTCTTAATTGACGTTTGTAGAGTTTGTTTTTGTTCCCTATAAATTGGACTTGTGGTCTTCGAAAGGCTTTTTAGCGAAGACAAGAAAATACTACTGCGCAACATCCTCTCTTTATTTTAAACTCTGCTTCTTATTTTTCTAACAAATTAGCCCCAGAAACTAAGCCCCTTTAAGCATAGTCTGGTTTTATTGTTTCACTTGATCGTAGTGTGGCCCGTTTGAGGTAAGGAGACTTGCAATAAAAATCACCACTTTATTATTATTAAAACTGTAGACTTGTTACCTTTAGGGCTATATGTGCTGAGACAGTTTACTTTGTATGGCTAGAGAGCATGTGTAGCAGTACACCGACGCTATTAAAATATCATTATTCTATCAATTTGAAGTTGGCATTTTTACAAACATGGAAAGCTATGTAACCCAAAAGCTTGCATATAACGTAATTACAGGAATAAGGCCTTTTGCATAAATCTCTGATTTATTTCTTTATTATCCTGAGTATTAAGTGTTGCGTGATTGCTACGAGGCAACATTAACTTAGCGTCATGATGTAACGGTGGTTGCCATACGCCATGTTTAAATCTTAAAAATTAAATTAAAATTAATTAAATTAAATTAAATCTTGTGGGCGTTATGATAATATCCACAAGATTTAATCATAGTCTGTAGGTATCTGATATGTGTAATATTCACAGTTTCTAGGCAATAAAAACTTTGATACTGAAACGAATACCCATTCATCCTTTTTTCAACCTTTTTTTTTAACCTAATCTGGACAGAAAATGAAAATAGCTTGAGAGAGAACTTAAAGTCGCAAAAAATTATGAAAACAATATGGTGTAATTCATAGCTACGATAACAGAAAGTGACAGAGTAAAAGTTGTCCTTTGAATAGACATTAATTTGTGGCTTGGATTAATATTTTTACCCATTTTATTACTTTGGAATTTAATTGATCCGTTTTAGGGACTTGCGTGTATATGATAATGTTCAAAGCCGAGGAATGAAGGAGGATATTAGTGAGCGTGGTACGCGAGGAGGGAAAACTCGCTGTAAAAATGCGTAAAGTTGGGAAAAGATAACTTTTTGTCAAGCGTAGACTTGTCGGTGTTGTTGCAGATTCTAAGTAATTAAACTTCTTAACACACTTAGGAAATAGCATGAGGCGAAGTGAATCTATGAAGGGGTGGAATCCGATTTAGTTAGAGGGAAGGGTAAAAATATTTTCTTTTACATTATTTCCCATAGGGTGTGCTTATTAGAATGCTGCCGAGGGTTAGCTTTACCTAAGAGAATACTTCTGAGAGTGTTGTTTAAAGTGGCTTCAAAGGGTTTTTTTGATCGCGCGAGATCTGGACCCGAACATGGCGCGAGCTCTAAAAATATCGCCGAGCAAAACAAATGTGGCGGCTCGATACGATCGCACGATTTTTATCACAAGAGGTGTGTAAAAAATATATCCGCATCATGGACTCTGGGAATTCCAGCAATGACGCCCAATGTATTTGTAGGCCTTTTACGCCTGAAAAAGGCCAACATAACAGCCGCGACGCGTTCGGTTGCTTAAAGAAGACCTCAAAATAATGAAAACAACGGGGGAATCGTTAAGAAAAGGCTGCGAGGAAAAAGAACAACTTACAAAACGGGCTCTAAGATCTTCTTTATATTTTCCATAGCGCAGCATTTCGATGATGCTTGCAAGGATTCCTCGAAATGAATCGCTTAAAGGTATGTACCTTATTATCTTTCACAGAGCAACAATAGAATACAGGGCCACTGATGTCCAGTAGTGCTTGTGTTCGATGTCCAAGAATTTCGCAAGTCTGAAATTAAATGCCAAATGAATACTCGTTGTCCGCGATTCGAAAGTCTACGGATGCTCAGATACCGATCTTAGCGAAGTTCTATTCCATTACGTAATGTTTTGCGACAAAGAAAATAGAGATCTTTCAAGTAAAATTTATCGCGCTTCCCTCTGTGGAATTTCCTGGAGACCTGAAGATTTGCTGGACCGTTAAATATATTTGTGCCCTTCCTGGTACCTGTTAATGAAAAAAATTCATAGGACAAATTTGAGATAGAGGAAGAAAACATAAAATTGCAAATAGCGAGAAAACTACCTTTGTAACCCTCTTCTTTTAAATAATCGGCAAGACAATTTCCGAAACTTGTGAAAATTTTGAGAGATTTCACCGAAGAAAATTGAAGAAAATCAAAAGCAAAGCCAAATTATTACTAGCGAGCGCCTCCCGTCGTGGAGCCTCAGCTTAATCATTAATGAAGAAAATAATTTTTTTTAATGTATAATACAGCGAACGATAGTCCGAACCTTGCTAATCGCCTTTGGATGTCTTTTAATGACATAGAAAAGCGAAAACAAAAATTTTCTAGAAAAACAATACGCTGGCGCGCGCGCCAACGTTGAGCAAAAACCCTATGGAACCAGCTCAAGGTTAAACACAACTTGAAGAAATATGGTCCATACGTGTGCTGGTGACTGCCAGCCTTCCCGCAACCTTTGCACTGATACATCTGCAAGACTGCCTTACTTTATATTTTAAGTTAAGAGGGGTTATAAACAGCATGAATTCCAAAAAAACATATGTTTACCCACAAAAAGCGTCACCGAACTTTCTGCTTTAAGAACTCTCCTACCGCTACACGGGCAGCACTTGTTCGCGCCCATGCATTGCGCAGCGCGCCAAATCGTAAACTTTCCGTGTATTTTACAAAAAAGAAAAAGTTTCGTCTGTCTCCTGATTATTAATTTTGTGGGTTGTATACTAATAAAGCAATATAGGAGTTAATACCAAACTCTTACCATCGAGAATTGCCTAACGAAATTAAATATGCAATTTAGCGGACGGCGCCTATTTACCCTGATAATAGAGTTTAGCAAGAGGACGGGAACGTCATTTCAGAACGGCGTGCGCAGCAAAAATGCCGAGAAAAAACTGGGTCGAGAACGCCATCGCGTTGTGTTGAAAAGTGACTTAGCATTCGTTTCAACGAATCGTCCACGTTATATTTGTTCTTGAATATCCTAACCTTGGCTCTTTAGAATCATTATCAGCTTTGAATTTTCGGTTTCACAGACCGCTTGAAGGACAACGAAATTATCTTCTTTGAGAGTGAAACAAGCACAAACCGAGGATAGTTTACTTCAAGTGAGTTGTTAATATGAATCCACATGAGCGATTAAACTTTGAAATTATTTCATTCCAGCTAAGTCTCGAGTCTGCAGATTCATCTATCAAATTTTGAAGCCCACTAAATAATTTTTTTCTATGATTTGTATCGCTGTCATTTCGTTTTGTGCTTCTAGATTTCAGCACTACTCGTTTTTCTTCATAATTTTGTAAAGTATAATTTGGAATTGAAATCGTCGCCATTTTTTCCCTTGTCTACTGAATATTCTTCTCAATCATGACAATAAACCTCTTTTGAGCACCACCTTCTTAGAGTTGCAACGCATTTTGAACGGAGTTATCAGAAGTTATGGCGAAAAAATGTAGAGATCAAGTGACCCAACGATGGAGTTGTTTACAATGAGTTCCCGTTTAACCATGAACGAATGAAATGCACTCAAACTAGTCACTGACGAAACGGTTAGACTGAGGAATCAGACTTCGTTCCTGTTTTATTTTGTTTTTGTTTAATTTAACTTTTTTAACGAATAAAGTCGTTCAAGACTGAATCAAATTAATAGATTTAGAAAGCCGTGCCGAAATCAAGATGATTGTTATTTTCTTTCGTAGATGACTTTCTTGTCTAAGTTTTCACCGGCGCTGATCAAAACTAAAGACATAAAATAGTGTAAACCCGAGCGATTCTCAAATTTTTTTATCTCTGACTTCAATCCGCCGAACACTTTTTAATCAAAGTTAAAAACGACAATAACAACAAATAACGCCGAATAATATAGCAAATAACCTTCGTGTTGTTTCATTTTGATAAACTTCAACATGAAGCAAGTTTAATTTATTGATGAATTAATTCACGATAAAATTAACAGCACCCGTTCTTAGAGTTTTCATACATGGTTTAAGAAATGTATCAAAGAAAAGCCCTCACGTTGCTTAAAGCCACGCTCAATTACAAAAGGTAACTGAGCCCTAAAATCTTAGATAGCTTGCTGACGATCGTGTTTCCTTTCGGGAATCCAGAATAAATGTAGCGGTAAATTTTCACAAATTCACCGAATAAAACAATGAAAGGAACCTGGTTATCCTGGAAATGAGTTCTGAAATCATTCCAAACAACACTATCTCGTTTATAAGTGCACACTTAACGCAAATCCTAGGCGTTTTGATCACGACGGAAAAACCAGCGAAATGACGTCCTGAACTTGATGGGGAGAACGGCAACGCTAACACTGGAAGTCGAAATAGAGTCGTGTCCAGATTATCCGCGCGCTTTCCCGTTCTGAAATGACGTCCCCGTCCTCTTGCTAAACCACTCTAATGTACTACTGTCGAAAACGTTTCGCTTTTGCTTTGCAAATAGCTAGTGCTTATCCTAAGCGAACTTTACGGACATTTGGAAACTTGATTGAATGTTTTCTTTTCATCACTTCAAACGAATGGAGTGCAGTCGTTTGGTGTTAGGATTCGCGCGATGATTGGCACAATGTCTCTGTTGCTTTATAATATTTGAATTTTAACCTGTGAAATTTTTTAGCTTTTCTTCCCACCCGTTTCCACGGGGAATCCACTGTAATGACTGCAAGAAAAAAAAAAGTGAAGTTGACTATATCGAAACTGTAGGCCTTAAATCAAGGAGTGATTTTGATAGAATATCCAGCAATCAATCTTATCAGCACAATGAAAAGACGAAAAAAAATTGGTGGTACTGATTTTATTATCATTAATTGCAAATTCAGAGACATGTGTCACGACTGTTCTATCACCTAATTGGTTCACATCATATAACCTTTTTCAATCAAGCAAAGCCTTGCTATTAGGTTTTTTCTCTTTGAATATATCACGCAAAGCCTCATTAAACAATTTCATGGCATGGAGATGAAAGTGGATATCATCAGTAATAATTTATTACCGAGTATTTATGGCGCCAACATTGAATCTGAAAGCATAGAATTGTGAAGCACGAGCCACGATACATGAAATGCAAATGTATTAATGAAGAGAGATTTCCTTTCAAGCCTGTGTACTTTTCCTTAGAATCTGATAACAGACAAGACTAATTTATCAGCATTTTGTTGCCAAAACATAAATTTGATAGTCATTCTTAAACACCGAGCCATCGGCAAAAGGAAGGTCTAATAGCAGTTTAAGTTTTTTCTCTTTATTCTACATAGTATTACCGCCAATAATTTGTCTTCCGCTGATTTCTTTTCTTTTTGCAGTCATTGATTAAATCATTGCTTACTGAGATTTATTGCTCTCTGTTGCATCAAGGAAGTTGTTAATCCTTCTGCGGGACTGACTGACAAGGATGATCCGCTTTAAGTCGGAGCCTGTAGCTTAATGTTTCAGACTATGTAATCCTAATTCTTTAAATCATGCACTTCTATTTGATAGTAACAAGAACTTGTAAGAAAACTTCGAAAGCAAGGAGTCACAAGAAGATGTTGGGAGATGTAAAAATCTCCCTCAATCTAAGCCAGTTGAAGGCTACAGATTTTTTTGCTTTTATTTTCGGATAAAGTGGTGGAGTAGCAACTAATTAAAAGACCCAAGTAATCTATTCATTTGTCTACCTAATTTAAAATTGCATTGTTTCTCGGGCACAGCATTCTCTCCAGAACTCATTTGCATGTAGTTCAATCAATCTTTTTACAAAATGATAGCCAAATATTCTCTACGAACATGACTCGAAATATGTACTTATCTAGGGCAAGGAAAGACCGGCCAGGAAGTGATCAGACATTCGCTCGGGTAAGAATGCGACAGTCGAGCAATTCGCTCAGTTTGTCAACCATCGAGCTAAGAGAGTTCGAGATCCGCAATTAGGTCTTAAAATATTAAATAGGATGAATCCTCTATGGTCCCTTCTCTCAGTGTATATAGAGGTGGGCAAAAACTGTGGGTAGGGTACTTTTAAAAGAGACGAGTTGAAAAAAAATTCAATAGCAAATATTGTTTTTTGAGCGCCGTTTTTGCCAGAAAAGGGCAAAATCTGCTGGGATTATAAAAAAAAAATTCACAATGCAACAAAGTGCAGTAAATTTCAGTGAGGGATACATTGATAAAACATTCCCATCAAATTCAACGAAGGACAAATGGTTGGCGGCATTTCCTTGTAGACACAGAGCAATGCAATAACCAAAAAAATACCGGTTGTTAAGGAAGGCTTTAATCAATTGAGCTCTGTTATGTATTTTGATCAAAGAGTTGATAGCTACTTTGCCGTCGAGTAGTTTCTTTCTAGTGTGCTACAATAACTTCTGATCTCTTTCGCTTGACACCTGCACCATTTTACTTTTGACAGAGAAAAAGTTCATGATCAAGCACACAAAATTCCAAACTTACCCTGACTTCGCGCAGTTAAGGAGTCAGTGAGATGGCGTTGAAAATGATAAATGCATTACTTACGCCAATCAGGGGTTAGTTGGGCTTTATGGCTTCATAAATTTCAGGCCGTGAGGGATAAAAAATAAAATACACAGGACGCTAAGCTGAATCCAACATTGGAAACATTGGAACTTCGCGAATATCGCTCTCAAGAAACATTAGGAGTCAGAAAACAATTTATTAACCGTCTATTTTTCAAACAAACTTCCTGTCTTTTATCTCAAAAATCAGTTCATCCCAGTCAGCTAGAATTGGGCATGACAAAGGAAACTGCGTTATTACTTTGCGCCACGGATTAGTTTCATGGCGCCATCGGCTCATCATCTAAGGGCATCTTGCTGTGTAACTAGGGTGAAAGAGACAACTCTTCCTCAACAACGCTTACAATAGTGCCTTTTAAACAATTGACCCTTTGTCATGCAAAGAAGACATTTATGAGCGGCGCTTATGGTCACCCTGTAGTTATCGAAGGGAATATATACTTAAGAAGTCATTGTAAAAATCTGTCCTTGAAAAAACGACAGATAAAAAGGACAATTCCATTAGGCAGTAATACAAAAAATAGACAGCCGTCTATATATAAGAAATATATATGTTCTAGTAAAACTACAATTTCTTATCGCGGAATGAATATGCCTTCATGACAAAAGCAGGTGATTTGCAAGAAGCTCAAAGCCATTTCACGTACAGATTAATGAGAAATAAGTGTATAAGTAAGAACGGCATACCAAAGCAGACTCAGATGTGATACCAAAGCTTCGTGAGCGCAACTTCGATAAGCAGGCGGGAAGAGCTTTGCAAGGACATTCGTTGCTTATTAATCTAGAGTATTAAGATGTTTTCAAATTGTACCTTGGAACAACTTGGCTGTGGAAACGCTTCGGCAAACATATCGGAGGATGCTGAGATTTCAGACGACCGAGAATGTTTTGGGAGAGAAGACAACCGGACTGAAGTATTCTTCAAAGCATTGGCTTATTCTCTCATACTTCTTGTTTCTCTTTCTGGAAACATTTTGATCCTGATAATCACTTACAAAAACAAACAGTTGCGAAAATCGGTCTATTACTTCGTGTTCAACATGGCAATATCCGACTTGTGTATTCCACTGACCATCATGCTCATCAGAATCGTTAACATCTCTGCGGGATCAGATTCTTGGAAAGTTGACAGTCCTAGGCTACTGGGAAACATTCTTTGCAAACTGTGTCACTTTCTTCCGGATGTTTCCCTTATTGTATCAATCGAAAGCCTACTCTTGATATCATTGGATAGACTAGTGTCTGCACTGTCTCCACTAAACACCACATTCGAGTCAGCGAAAGCACGTGTTATTGGAATTCTGTGTACGTGGATCACCGCCTCTGCAGTTCACTCTCCCTATTTTTATACTTTCAGACTGATTTCAGAGGAAGACGGAGAAACTCTATGCGTGTTTGACTGGGAACCAGCCTTCGATCGTCAAAAAACACACAAGATATATAGCACAACAATTCACATCGCTTTTGTCATCACACCGATTTGTCTCCTAATCATTGTGTATGGGACCATTGCCTGGATCTTGAAGAAGAGAAACAACCGAAACAGGACACAACTTTCCTATCAACTACGTCGTCTAGAGCAACAACGAAGAAAGGTCATCCAAATGACGGTGGCCTTAGTAATTTGCTTCGTTTCATGCATGATACCGACGGTTGTTTATATGTTCACTCGAATATTCCTCTGGGATTGGGATGACCCACCCATTTGTGCGTTTGAAACGGTGCTTAAGTTCATAGCTGGATTCATGGTGTTGTCTTGGAGCGCTTTGAATCCATGCACCTGCTTGATATTTACGAGGATATATCGTAGAGGCCTTAGAAGACTTTTACCAATCCTCAGTTGACCTATCGACGACTGAGAGAAGTAGATAACAACAGATTTTAAAATGAAAGAACAAAAAAAAAAAAAAAAAAAAAAGCCAAGCAAAAAAAAAAAAAAAAACGCGTCAGGGAATTTACCCGCCATAATGTGTCATACGTTTCCTTTTGCTGTGATAAAGGGGAAGTCATGTTAATTATTGTGGTCTGGTTAGCCTGTTACTCATATGGAATCAATCAGTAAAACACAAAGAGTTTGTCTCTGAGGCAATGTAAATCAAATTGAAATAAAACATTTCTCTAGAAATGAAGCCGGAATAAAGAAATTAACCTAATGTTCAGATGAAAATTTGGAATTAATTTCTCTCTAACAGTTAACATCCGGGAATTTGTTTGGGGGATAGGTTTAGGCCATCTTGTCTGACAGAAAATGATATGCGACATTTGAACTGCCAAATTTCTTTAGCTGTCAAATCGTTGTGTTTGATAGAGTAATTAAAGGTCATTTCTAGAACCATTTGTTTCTGAATTCGATTCGTCCCAAGCGCATAACAAAGTCATTTTGTTGCCTTGCTCAGCATGACGATTGTTTATGAGTTTGTATATAGAGTGAAACCACAGGTAACAAAACGTCCTCTTGTCGGGAACAGTTTCATCAACTCCCGCAGTTGAAAAATCTCGGCCCTCTCTTCCCACGTGTCCAGTCTTGCGGTTATCCTTCGTTAGTCGTAACAACGTTCTTTCACAGTCGCTCACTTTTGTAGTACCGGCAATTCCTCCGACCATTCCTAGCTTCTGCTTTAATCTTAGGCAGAGGCTTTTCAACTTAAGTAATAACTTGATGGTTATTGCTATAAAAAGGGTACAATGGAAAATTCAAAGTCAGGGTAAATCGTCGAGCTTCAACCATCTCGCATAGGCTCAAGGGATAGATGGGAAAATTATATTAGCCGCTGGTGGCAATACGGATCACACATTTAATGAATTCCACCCAGCCTGATTACGTGCTAAAAATCAGAGTTTTACTATGGTGAGCTCGTGGATAAAATTTGCAGAAGAGAATTATAATAATAAGTTATTGTTTTAGAAGCCAATGATCCTGTGATTCCAAGAAACAGAATTGAGCCTCTGGCAAAAAAAGAGGGTTAAGGTAACCTGTGGGTTAGTACTCTGAATAACGAAATAGGAAAGTTGATATTTCCCTTACCGTGGGTAAATTTAATTTTATCGAGAGAAAATAACTTCTCTTGATTTGATATATCATTTATAGTACTACTGTTCAGAATGCCTTTTAATGGTAGTTTTAATTGAAATACACACACACACACACACATATATATATTAAGTAATATTAATAATTAAAGCACATAAAGTGTCAACAACAAAACTGATAGCTCCTATAAACCTTTAACCGTAACAGAAAATATTTCAATTTCCACGTTGACGGTAATAATTGAATAATTAAGTCTGTTGACGTTCTTGGATCGGCGTATATGACTCAACATGTTACAGGATCAACTCGCTCTGAGGGATATAGCCTCGTTCTAATAATTACAAGAGGCGACGTAAACTTAGTTTATGATGTCAAAGTACTAACTGATCATTTCTCAGATCATAAAGTTATATACTGCAAACTAGATCGTTCAACGGCACCCTGTTTCTAAAATATACGTCATGTACAGATCAAGTAAGCTTTTGACTGCTGATGTTTTAGACGTCATTGTAGCAAAAACTGCATTTGGGAAAGACATATATGGTCAGTTGCCGTCGACTTGACAAAATTAGTCAATCAATACAATACAGGCTCGGATAAGATTCAAAACGATCTCGCGCCCAAGAAATCGCGATGGATAACTAAGCGGGCACATGCATCCTGGTACGATGACGACCTCCGTTTAGCTAAGCGCATAAAACGGAGAGCACAGCGTATTTTCTGGAAAACTGGTCTCGTAGTTCATAAAGACGTTTCCACAGAGGCATATATACCGGCTGAATTTATCAGTTTCTTGAGGAAGAAAAGAAAAGAGAAAAAAATAGCTAGGCTGCATGATATGACGAAAAACGACGAAATAAAAAAGAAACTGCTTTTATTCTTGAAGAAGTCGACGTTTTTTTAGGAGATATCGACCGTTCAAGTGTCAGTGGACAAATAATTAATAAGTTCCATGATCAACTACGCTTTTTGCACGTGCATCGGCATAGTGCTGTCAGTCGACCGCTTCGGCTTCACCAGGTAGGAAAATTACCGTTCTTTTCCCAGTAATGCAACCATTTTTTAATTCCGGAAATTCATCCGCACATCAAAAGCTTGTGCTTGGATCTTTCACTGAGGCCCCTCAATCCAACTGATAACTTGACGGTTATTACTAGATGGGAAAATTCCGTTCGCTACCCATCCTTAACACTTTGGTCAAACAAAACAGTGACTACAACGAAGTTCTGTGTTGTTGTGAAAACAAACCATCCTAAATATAACTTTTAAATAGCTCACTCGTGGATTGACGAGTATCAAGGAAGATAATGACTGTCAGCACAACCGTGAGACATTCTTCGAAAACAGCTCACAGACAAAGAAACCACTCAGACTCGAGTCATTCCGACCAAGCTTGTGAAATAACAGCCGACTCCGCTCTAGAGGTTACAGCTAAAGTTTCATTTTTCGGAAATATCTTTCTTCTTGTGGTCATTTACAAGAAAAAGCAGCTACGAAGATTCATCAACTACTTCGTTTTCAACATGGCTGAATCCGACCTCTTCAACCCTTTGACCGTCCTGACTGTGAAGATCGTTGAGATCATTTCAGGATCGAGTTCCTGGAAAGTTGATCGTCCGTGGCTGCTAGGAAACATTCTATGCAAACTTGCCTACTTTCTGCCAGATGTTTCTGTCGTGGTTTCCATCGGAAGCCTTCTTTTGATCTCTACCACTACATCTCTGTCTTTCTGCTGCATTCGTGGAGTGCAGTAAATCCTTGCATTTGTTTTATCTCTAGCGAGAACTACTGCAACGGCCTTAGGCAATGTTTTCATTGTAATTGCTTAATATCAGGTTTGCAAGACTACCAAATGCAAACGATGAAATGCTCCTACGTAGACAGCTCCCTTCAGACCCATTCAAGTAGCGTACACATTACCGTAGTTATTCGGTTATAAGGCGCACTCGGCTATAAGACGCACCCCCAATTCGGCAACTTCATTATTGCATGTTTTCAAACTGAGAAAATTGCTAAAATACTTGGTTATAAGGCGCACCGTTGTTTGGGGAGTAAAGATCGGTCAAGTTTATTGTAAATTCTTTCATAAACTTACAAAAAAGCGAAAAAGTCGCGTATTGATTTTAGTTTACCGTTAATCAACAAAAGCAGAATTGTCGCACACGCGACCACGCACACAAACAAAAGCCTTGATTAAACAAGATGTACCGCCGAGAATGCAGGTCTCAGTGCACTAAAAAGGCTGAAAGGATGAAGAAGGTATTTACCTCTTCGCTTGTTTATTTTCGTTTCGTTTTGTGACGTATCAAATTACTAAGCACGTGCTCTCGAGCACGTATCACATCTATGCAAATTTGACTTCGCTTGTCTTTTCAGAACCACCATACTCATAAAAGTCAATGTGTGTGTGTCATTTTATTTGCTTGAAATCGTACCAGTAACTGTGATAAAAAAAAATTGTTTTGGGAAAATATTCGCCTATAAGACGCACCCAAACTTTGGCGGTAATTTTTAATAGAAATTAGGAATTTCTTGAAAAAAACGGTGCGCCTTATAACCGAATAACTACGGTATCTCATAATGAGCACTATATATACATATATATGTATATATGTATATATACATATAAAGGGGTGTGCGTGTGTGTGTGTGTGTATGTATTTAAATCCCTATACTAAATATACAGGATGATCATTGGATATGCATGTAGGGAACACTGTGGAGTGTTCAATTAAGATCTAAGTGCCACACACTTAACCACATGAATATTTGTTCATATCGCGATATATCTGTTTTCTCCGTCGATCGGGTGGTTTCCTAAAGCGAGATCATGATATTTAATAAGTTTAGATGATAAAACAAAGTATTATGTCAACAGAAATGCCGAAGGTCGAGTGGAATCGTTACATGAGGTCACACAACACGGGTAATATTCACGGTGAAAATTTGCATATTTGAGCGGTCAAACGAAAGAAATCATTTCTCGAAAACTCAAATAAATTTTTACAAAAAAAACTACATTAAAATTATTAGAACATCTTGGGCTACAAAATATGAAAGTAGGAGTGAAAACGAATTTTGGGAGACTTGCCACAATATTTCAAATTTGTTCGATGGATGCTGACATCCTCTCTTTCAAAACACTTAATTTAAGAGGCTTTATTACTTCGTATTATCAAAGTAATAGACTGCGTCTAATTTTGTTTTCCAATAGCACAGCACAAGGGAGACGTCAGGAACGCAGCGACAAGCGGCATGAAATTTCGATGATATCGATACGGTGGAAGCCCTTTCTATCAGAGCTATAAATAGAAATGACTGATACCACAACAACAACAATAATAATAATAATAAGGATTTTTATAGCGCCATCCGTACCCGCATGCTCATGGTGTTTTACAACTGAGACCGAAAATTTTGTGGATTAAAGCATTACATCAATAATAAAACGCAAATCTATAAAAGTACAAGTTAAAAATTTGTATCTAAAAATTAAGATTAAAAATAAAAGTAAAAAATTAAAAAATTAAAATTCTAACCGAACTTTAATCACGATGTTCTTTGGATAAGAAAGTCTTTATAGAAGTTTTAAATTTTGAAATATTATCGTGATTACGTATAGGTTCTGGCAGTGAGTTCCAAACTGTAGGTGCTGCAAATGAGAATGATGTACAGCCATATTTCTTCAGTTTTGCTGATGTTATTGTCAGGAGCCTCTTAGAAGAAGATCTTAAGCTTCTTGATGATTTGTTGGTCGGCAACATTTCTGTTATATAGGAAGGTGCTGACCTTTGTAAGGCATTAAAGGTTCATAGAAGTATCTTGTACCTCATACGGCTATACACGGGAGGCCAGTGTAACTATTTGAGAATTGGCATGATATGATAGTGTTTCCCGGAACGAGTTACAAAGCGTGCAGTACAGTTTGGACAGTTTGTAGACGATCAATCAGAAAATGAGGAAGGTCAGAGAGCAATGAATTATAACTATCTAATTTAGAGGAAATAAAAGCATGAACTAAGATTTCAGTGTGCTTGTGAGAGACTCTCTTTTTTTAGCTATATTCCTAAGATGAAGAAAACAAGTGTTACATATGGCAATGACGTGTTCGACAACAGTCATTTCTTGATCAAAGACGACTCCGATGTTCCTAGCGGAACATTGAATACTTGGGTGGTCTCAATGGTCGGGCGTGGGCGATAGCTGGCATTCAGAATAAATAGCTCGGTTTTTCCCGTGTTTAGCTTCAGTTTTTTTGGACCAACCAGGAATCGATGTGACTCGCTCATGCTTCTATACGCACTAAAGATGACTGTTGCTTGGCTGTAGCGGGCCTAAAAGCAAAGTAAAGTTGGGTGTTATTGGCATACAGGTGAAACTTGAGACCATGATGTCTCACAATATTGCCCAAGGGGAGATGCACAACGAGTACAGGATCGGTTCAAGGAACGATCTCTGTGGAACACCAAATTGAAGGTCTTTTACATCAGATTGTACACCATCAGTCATCACGAACTCGGTTCTCTGTTGTGAAGGTAGGACTCAAACCATTTCAGACCTGTCCTCTAAAACCAAAGAGACTGCACAGTCTATCTAAGAGTTTGAAAAGTTTTCTATCAATCTTGAATTGATCTATCGGAGAGTGGGAGAAGTAGATAATACAAGATTTTAAAGTGAAAGAACAACAACAACAACAAAACAATTAAAACGCGTCAGGGAATTTCACCATACATGGTGTCATACGCTTTCTGGATGGACTAGTCTCTGCACTATCTCCACCAACACCACATTCGAATATTCCTCTGAGATTGGGATGACCTACCCATTTGTGCGTTTGAAAAGGTGCTTAAGTTCAGAGCTGGATTCATGGTGTCGTCTTGGAGCGCTTTGAATCCATGCACCTGCTTGATATTTACGAGGATCTACCCAAAAAGCTTTGGAAAACCATTACCAATCTTCAATTGACCTATCGGCAAGCGGAAGAAGTAGATGACATAAGATTTGAAAATGAAGAACAAAGAAAAAAAAACCAATTAAAACGCGTCTGGAAATTTACACGCTATACACTTCCTTTTGCGTTAATTCTTGTGGTCTGGTTAACCTGTTATTTAAATGGATTCAATCAGTAATAAACAAAGAGTTTCTCTCTAAACCAATGTAGATAAAATTGAAATAAACCATTTCTCTAGAAATGAAGCTGGAATAAAGAAAGTAACCTAATGTTCACATGAAAATTTGGCATTAATTTCTCTCTAATATTTAGTATACAGGAAATTCGTTTGGGCACAGGCTTACCCATCTTGTCTGACAGAAAGTGGTGTGTGACATTTGATCTGCCAAGTTTCTTTAAGTGTAAAATCGCTGCGTTTGATGAAGTAATTAAACGTCATTTCTAGATCCATTTGTTGCTGAATTAGATTTGCCCCAAGTACATAACAGAGTCATTTTGTTTCCTCGCTCAACATTGCGGTTGTCTGTGAGTTTGTACATAAAGTGAAACCACCGGAAACAAAACGTCTTCCAGTCGGGAATAGTTTCATCACCTCCCGCAGTTGACGAATCTCGGCCCTCTCCCCCTTCGTTTCCAGTCTCGCCGTTATCCTTCGTTAGTCGTGGCAACCTTCTTTCACAGTCGCTTACTTTTTTCATACCGGCAATTCCTCCGACATTACTAGCTTTTGCTTTAAACTTAGGCAGAGACTTCTCAGCTTAACTAATAACTTGACCGTTACTGCTGTAAAAAAGGGTACAATGGAAAATTTAAAGTCAAGCTAAATTGTCGAGCTTCAACCATCCTGCATAGGCTCAAGGGATAGATGGGAAAGCTATATTAGCCGCTGGCGGCAATACGGATTACACATTTGATCAATTGCACTCGGCCCGCGTACGTGCTAACAGTCAGAGTTTCACTATAGTGAGCTCGTGGATAAAATTTGAAAGAGTAGAATTATAATAATAAGTTATTGTTTTAGAAGCCAATGATCCAGTGATTCCAAGAAACGGAATTGAGCCTCAAGCAACAAAAGAGGGTTAAGGTGGGTTAGTACTCTGAATAATGAGATTAGCACTTCCATATTCTCGGTGGTTCTGGGCGGCAGCTAGGGTTTGTTCTTCGAAGGCTTCCATGTACAGAATAAAATCACCAAAGGCGCCCGAAAAGCCGCAGAACTAACATCCTTGCGATTTCTGAGGGAACGAATACGACTGACAAGGAGAGCCATAACAGACGCGAAGAAGGAAGCAGAATCCAAAGAAAATAATATAAAATCCACTTTCTCTGAAGAAGATGCGAAGACTCTACGAGAACAAAGGGGTAAGTTTCTAAAGAAACTATCGTGCTGCGTCGGTGGGAGAGTATAACAGGTAATTTATTGTTAACAACTGAGTTGAAAACGTAAATTAGCCACCGTAAAGGGTAAAAAGCTGACGTTTCGAGGGTTTCGGCGTTAGCCCTTCGTCAGAGCGATTCGCTCTGACTAAGGGCTAACGCTCGAAACGTCAGCTTTTTTACCCTTTACGGTGGCTAATTTACGTTTTCAACTCAGTTATCAACACTAAATTACCTGCTCTACAAGAACAGATCAGCACCAACACCCAGCGAGTCTTCAACAACACCAAAGTGCGACAGAAACAAAAATTCGAGAAGCTTCTCCTCGAACAGAAAGCAGCCAGCGAGTCAACCTCGACACCCAACGTTGACCAAACAAACTGGCTCGTTAACCTGTCTTCCAGAACACACAGCGACGCAGAAACCACCCTGCTCAAGAAAGGACTAAACTTCGCCGCTACGCCAATCAACATCCCGGCCACAGAAATAATCGCGAAGGTAGAAACAGCCATCAGCCTTCTCGCCTCTTAAAGATATAACTGTTTTGCACAGGCTCGTTTAGTCATTGGTTTCATAAATAACAGTGCGCATTAACTAGAACCAAGGCCACGAAATGAATTCCCGCAAGTTTAAAAAACACTGGCTACTCAGAATAATGGCGCCAGGGGCCTTATACGACCGACTTTTTATTCAAATGTCTCTACCTCGGTAGAAATTTCAAATCAACGAAAAAAAAGTGGTGGGACACCAAACAGGACATTTTTAAAATTATTTTATGTGTATTTGAGTTGTTTTTACAACCGATCGATATTCAAACTCAAACCTTGAGAGAAAAAAAAACCACACACACACACACACACAAAGCAATGAGCATGACCTATAATTCTCTTCATTTTTATGTGTTCCTACTTGAAGCAAAGAATTTCCGACTTGAGGACTATCAAAACAATTATGATTAATACCCGAGAAAAACACGACCTCCTTGACAAACTATATTTTAATAGTCTTCAATTAGTTTTTCAATTTGCTTCCCTTTCATCTGCTTTTGTCTTATTCTAATGGAAGTCGATATTGTTATGTCGTGGGACGACAATTCCGCCTTTACACAATTGCATGTTCCAATATTATCGCAAATAAGTGAACGAACCGTCATTACTTTTTTAGACAAATCGCCAACGCAAGTCGTTCCTTCAGTGGGGTAGATCACTTTTAATGACAATATTGATTACCTTGTCATGTTCACCCACACTAATTTGTATTCATCTATTGAAATTAACTTTAAAACAAAGACTTTTCAGATAAATAGGACCCATCTTTAACACTTCGGTCAAACAAAACAGTGACTATAGCGAAGTTCAGTGTTGCTGTTGAAACAAACCATCCTAAGTATAACCTTTGGATAGCTCACTCGTGGATTGACGAGTATCAAGGGAGATAATGACTGTCAACACAACCGTGAGACATTTCTTCGAAAACAGCTCACAGTCAACCAGCCATGCAGCCTCGAGTCATTCCGACCAAGCTTGTGAAATAACAGCCGACTCCGCTCTAGAGGTTACAGCTAAAGCTCTGGCTTATATTTTCATTTTCCTGGTTTCCTTTTTCGGAAATATCTTTCTTCTTGTGGTCATTTACAAGAAAAAGCAGCTACGAAGATCCATCAACTACTTCGTTTTCAACATGGCTGTATCCGACCTCTTCAACCCTTTGACCATCATGACTGTGAAGATCGTTGAGATCATTTCAGGATCGAGTTCCTGGAAAGTTGATCGTCCATGGCTGCTAGGAAACATTCTATGCAAACTTGCCTACTTTCTGCCAGATGTTTCCGTCGTGGTTTCCATCGGAAGCCTTCTTTTGATCTCAATAGACAGGCTCATCGCTGTAGTCTTTCCACTGAGGGCCAAACTTATCTCCTCAAAAGTACGATTGATCAGCATTCTAAGCACGTGGTTTGTCGCCATCGCCATCCATGCACCTTATTTCTACAGTTTCAAATTGATCCCCCACGAAAATGAAACGTATTGTGAGTTGAATTGGGGACCGGCATTCGACCACATGAAAACACACAGAGGATTTGTTACGGCAAATTTCATCACTTTCATCCCCATTCCCATTTGTGTCCTGGCCAGTGTGTATAGCGTTATTGTATGGACAATAAGAAAAAAGAACAAAAAAACTAAAGAGAAACTGTCCTGTCACCAAAACCATCGAGATCGACAGCTCAGAAACATTGTCAGATTGGCAGTGGCCATTATGATGTCCTTCGTTTCCTGCATGACTCCACTGCTTATCTATTTATTTCTTACAATTTTTTTGTGGAATTGGGAATCCCCACCCATTTGTGCATTTCAGACAGTTCTCCCATTTATTTGTGTATTTCTTCTGCATTCGTGGAGTGCGGTAAATCCCTGCATTTGTTTTATCTTTAGCAAGAACTACCGCAACGGCCTTAGGCAATATTTTCATTGTAATTGCCTCAGTCGCAGAATATCAGGTTTGCAAGAGAAATACCAAATGCAAACGACGACGAGCTCCTACGGAGACAGCTCCCTTCAGACCCATTCAAGTAGCGTACACTTTGTCTCATACAGCAGAAAAGCTTGAGCACTATATATACATATATATGTATATATATTTATGGGTGTGCGTGCGTGTGTGTATGTATGTATTTAAATCCCTTTACTCAGAAAATAGACAGGAGGTTCATTGGATATGCATAAAGGGAACACTGTGGAGTGTTCAATTAAGATCTAAGTGCCACACACTTAACTACATGAACCATTTGTTTGTATCGCGATATATCTGTTTTCTCCGTCGGATGGTTTCCTAATGCGAGATCATGGTATTTAATTGATCCTGCAGATCTTATTCTAAAGGACTGTAATACAATTTAGTCACTTATCCGACTTGTATTTGTGGACAGTTTGGTATGGATGATCTAAGAATCATTTGCAGGTTTAAAAAATACATTATATTATTATATTATATGTGGCGAATATAAGTGCAAAACGTCTCCTAGTGAATAAAGTAATTAAAACCTATGTTCAAGCGGCATCTGGTATAACTGAACCTTTTGGCTTCTTTTTAACTGACCTTCCCATCGCGTTTTCATAAAAAATTTAAGTTAATTTGACTTATTCCATAACGTTCTCGAAAGAAAATTTTTTTCATCATAGGGTTTCATTTTCTTCCTCCCCATCGTATCGATTCCCCATCGTATTGATTCAGTCTGGCAGTTTATGCGACACTCTGTACCATATTGGTCGCCGTTAATTTCTTTCACGTCCAAAGTTGTCTCGCATGTCTCGGTTGATTTTGCGCAGGTCCATATCACGCCTCCACAACTATTATTGCACAGGTGATAATACTCTTCAAAGGAAGAAGAAGCGTAAATATTACAGGACTTTTGCCAAACGCGTGTTCATGTTGTTCAATGTTTTTTACATTTCTCGGCTACTAATTATTGATCAGCTTTCTTTCACATGACATGCACAGCACCTGAGGCTACGAATGCAGAGTCTCGATGTCTGTTTTTTACTCTCTCTTCCTTTTTTCACTATTTATTCAAAGGCTTCTTCCTTCCCTGTTTCTTTAATGAGACTTCATATTTCTCTTTTTTGTCATGTACAATTTTTTTACTCTAGTCGAGAGAATGAGAATGAGCGTTTGTAACAGGACAAAATAAGAATTCGGATTCTTTGAGCTGATTCTTGTTTGGATAGGTTAGTAAATGTGTAGACAATGACACGTTGCATTAATAATCATGCTATTCCGTTTTTTTAGATCTCGGTCCTGTCATACCGTTCAGAACATTAAAAGCTTAATCGAAGAGGCTTTATGTAATGTTTAAAAAACGAGCAGGAGTGTCCGTCCGTCGGATGGTTTCCTAATGCGAGATCATGATATTTAATTGATCCTGTAGATCTTATTTTAAGGGACTGGAATACAATTTAGTCACTTATCCGATCTAATGATGATGATCTAATGATGATGATCGGATGATCTAAGAATCATTTGCAGGTTTAAAAAAATTAAGCGTAGGCATATCATTATGGCAAGTAAAAGTGCAAAACGTCTCCTAGTGAATAAAGTAATTAAAACCTATGTTCAAGTAGCATATGGTATAACTGAACCTTTTGGCTTCTTTTTAACTGACCTTCCCATCGTGTTTTTATAAAAAATCTAAGTTATTTTGACTTATTCCATAACGTTCACGGAAGAAAATTTTTTTCATTGAAGGGTTCCATTTTCTTCCTCCCCATCGTATCTGCAGCTGATATTTTCGATTCAGGCTGACAGTTTATGCGACACTCTATACCATATTCGTCGCCGTTAATTTCTCTCACGTCCCAAGTTGTCTCGCATGTCTCGGTTGATTTCGCGCAGGTCCATATCACGCCTCCACAACTATTATTGCACAAGTGATAATACTCTTCAAAGGAAGAAGGAAGTGTAAATATCACATGACTTTTGTCAAACGCGTGTTCATGTTGTTCAATGTTTTTTACATTTCTCGGCTACTAATTATTGATCAGGTTTCTTTCACATGATATGCACAGCACCTGAGGCTACAAATGCAAATAGAATCTCGATGTCGGTTTTTTCTCTCTCTTTCGTTCTTTTTTTACTCTTTCCTTTTTCACTATTCATTCAAAGGGTTCCTCCTTCCCTGTTTCTTTAATGAGACTTCATATTTCTCTTTTTTGTCATGTACAATTTTTTACTCTAGTCGAGAGCATGTTACGTAACTATCCCCACAGACGCCTCTTCCCTATGAGAATGAGCGTTTGTAACAGGACAAAATAAGAATTCGGATTCTTTGAGCTGATTCTTGTTTGGATAGGTTAATAAATGTGTAGACGATGACACGTTGCATTAATCTTCATGCTATTCTATTTTTTTATATCTCGGTCCTGTCATACCGTTCAGAACATTTAACACTTAATTGAAGAGGCTTTATTATCTCGTATTCTCAAAGTAACAAACTGCGTCTATTTTTGTTTTCCAACAGCACAACACAAGGGAGACGTCAGTAACGCGGCGATAAGCGACATGAAATTTCGATGATATCGATGCAGTAGAACTCTTCTCTGTCAGTGCTATAAATAAAAATGACTGACACCACAACAATAACAATCATAATAATAAGGATTTTTATAGCGCCATATCGGCGTGCTCATGGTGTTTTACAACTCGGACCGAAAGTTTTGTGGTTTTTTTCAAATGGTTTCCTAATGCGAGATCATGTTATTTAATTGATCCTGTAGATCTTATATTAAGGGACTGGAATACAATTTAGTCACTTATCCGACTTGTATTTGTGGGCAGTTTGGTATGGATGATCTAAGAATCATTTGCAGGTTTAAAAAAATATATTACATTATTATATTATATATGGCGAATATAAGTGCAAAACGTCTCCTAGTGAATTAAGTAATTAAAACCTATGATCAAGCAGCATATGGTATAACTGAACCTTTTGGCTTCTTTTTAACTGACCTTCCCATCGTGTTTTCATAAACACATTTAAGTTATTTTGACTTATTCCATAACGTTCTCGGAAGAAAATTTTTTTCATTGTAGGGTTTCATTTTCTTCCTCCCCATCGTATCTGCAGCTTATATTTTCGATTCAGTCCGACAGTTTATACGACACTCTTTACCATATTGGTCGCCGTTAATTTCTTTCACGTCCCAAGTTGTCTCGCATGTCCCAGTTGATTTCGCGCAGGTCCATATCACGCCTCCACAACTATTATTGCACAGGTGATAATACTCTTCAAAGGAAGAAGGAAGCGTAAATATCACATGACTTTTTCCAAACGCGTGTTCATGTTATCCAATGTTTTTTACATTTCTCGGCTATTAATTATTGATCAGGTTTCTTTCACATGACATGCACAGCACCGGAGGCTACAAATGCAAATAGAGTCTCGATGCATATTTTTTCCTCTCTCTTTCTTACTTTTGTTTCATCTTTTCTTTTTCACTGTTTATTCAAAGGCTTCTTCCTTCCTTGTTTCTTTAATGAGACTTCATATTTCTCTTTTCCGTCATGTACAATTTTTTACTCTAGTCGAGAGCATGTTACGTAACCATCCCCACAGACGCCTCATCGCTATGATAATGAGCGTTTGTAACAGGACAAAATAAGTATTCGGATTCTTTGAGTTGATTCTTGTTTGGATAGGTTAGTAAATGTATAGACGATAACACGTTACATTAATCATCATGCTATTCCATTTTTTATACCTCGATTCTGCCATTACTTTTAGAACACGTAAGAGCTAATGTCAGCATGCATCAAACAAACAGCGGCAAGTCACCCAAAATTTGCTTTCACTCCTACTTCCACATTTTGTAGCCCATTATGTTCTAATAATTGTGGAGTAGTTTTTTTGTAAAAATTTAATTTAGTTTTCGAGAAATGATTTTTTTCGTTCGACCGCTCAAATATGCAAATTTTCACCGTGAATATTACCTAAGTTGTGTGACCTCATGTAACGAATATACTAGATCTACGGTATTTCTGTCAACATAATCCTTTGTTTTATTATCTAAACTTAATCCCCTGATATTATTGAAGCTAGCAAAGAAATATTTAGTTTTTGGTGAATATTTTTGTCCGACATACTTTTGCTGTGTCGAAAAGTAGCATCAAAACAAAGACAGTTTCAATAATGACCGATATGACAGAATCTACTGAGCTTCAAGTCTTAAAAAGACAAAAGGATGGTTATAAAGTTACTGTAAAATTTTCTTTGAGTATTTGTGTTGTTCTATCTTGAGACGAACTCAAAGTCCGGCAAAATTTACCTGATAGTGACTATAAAATATACATGGTGTGCCTACTTATTGCCAACGTTAACTAGCATAAATTGCAAAAAATCTAACATAGCACTCTTACCTTGTTTATTTATGATTTTATCAGCTGTTTCGATGATCACGTTAATTATTCTCTACCACATTCTAGCCAGATTTGAGTTCCAGTTTACATATCTTCTCTATCTTATTATATCAGTTGCATGACAAGCGTGACTCAGAAATTCAAAGATGGATCAACCTCCGAAATACCAAGAGATGGGTTTTTTTTTTCCTGTTTGCATGCCAGCTGGAGAAACCTTTCAGGAATTACTGCATTCAGAAAACTAAAATGTCTAGATCCATCAATGATTCCTTTGCCGGCTGAAGTCAAGGAATGGTTACAATAGTCAATTTGATTAACAAACTGCATACTGATCTGTTTTATAAGCGTCTCATCTTACATGCTAACATGGAGATTTGCTGTTCAATTAAATCGTTCGCTAGTGGAACTTGTGGGTTTAGTTATCGAGAAGACCGAAGTTGTATATCTCAAGTCGTTCTCTTGCGTGGTTGTTAAGAAGACATTTCAAGTCACTTGCGGAGTTGCAAGTTTCCAGATACAGAAAATGAAGTTGATCTTATTTTGTCGCGTGCCGGCATCTTCGAGTCGCTAAAAGATATCGATGATTTTACAAATTTCCCCACTCATAGATCAAATCTCGGTGTTGAGTGGAGTCGTGGTTTTAATAGCAGATGTAGGGTGCCAAACGAAGTGTCCGGACATGGTAAAGGTAGGTCGAT